AATTTCGAAATAAAAACAAACACGACTCTTTGTAATCAGCAAAAATCGACCACTCAAACAGATGAACGTGACAGAGGTTTGCGATTCTTAAACAGTGGAGTTCGCGTGTTTTGCAGTCAAGTTCAATCATACGTTTCGAACAGAATTCTTCTGTTTGTAACAAGTATAAGACCTCACCCATAGAAAGGCCTACTAAATGTTTTGTGACGAAGACATCAATCATGCGGTACCTACAAGTATTACTTAAGTTACTCGAAGCGAAAGCTCTTTAGTGATGTTATTAAAGAAAACGCGAAATGAACCAGACTCTTCTAAATTCGTATTCCACTACCCAAGAAACTTTTACTTTTATCCTCTCCACCACTGATCGGCTCGTTAGCCGCTTGGGCGATCGGTCACGTCTGTTACGCATTGTTGGCAAGTACTGGGCATGCACCGGCTCCTGGATGTACCTGAACCTGCTCCAGTGTTGGTCAAGTCTGGTCTTGAAAGAGCTCACACTCGGTGCCGTCACAACACTTTCTGGTAGATTGTTCCAAGAGTTCACAACTCTCACTCCAAAAAAAGTTTGCCCTCACAGTTTCCTGGACTTGCGGCTTCTTCAATCTTGAGCTGTGACCCCTTGTGGGGCGAGCGTCCGCCAGCTCCATGTAAGGACACTCGACTGAGTAGTGCCCCTTTAGATGCTTATACACCTCAATTAGGTCGCCTCTTATATACGTAACAAAGGTAATGGCACGAGGAGTTTGAAGCAAAAAGAGAAGTAACAAATTTTACATCTTATAATGAAACAATGAGGAATCTGGACTGAGTTTGAGGGAATATACACCGTAAACACTCAACAAATGTATTAAAGGCTTCATCCCTGGTGGCTATCAGTGTACGAGGGTAAAACAAGATTGGAGATGTCAAAAGACGAACCATATCTAGACGGCTCGTAACGATCTTCAAGAGTGAAATGCTTCCCGATCTGGAGTACTGTCACCCCGTCTGGTCCCCGAGATATGCTTGGGACTGTCAGTTAGTCGAAAATGTTCAAAGGAGGGCCACCAGACTGATGCCTGCACTTCGGCACTTCAGCTACCCTGAGAGATTGGAGCGCCTGAACTTGCCTAGCTTATACTACAGACGGGCAAGGGGAGACCTAATTGAGGTGTATAAGCATCTCAAGGGGCACTACTCAGTCGAGTGTTCTTACTTGGAACTGGCGGACGCTCGCCCCGCAAGGGGTCACAGCTCAAGATTGAAGAAGCCGCAAGTCCAGAAAACTGTGAGGGCAAACTTTTTTTGGAGTGAGAGTTGTGAACTCTTGGAACAATCTACCAGAAAGTGTTGTGACGGCACCGAGTGTGAGCTCTTTCAAGACAAAACTTGACCAACACTGGAGCAGGTTCAGGTACATTCAGGAGCCGGTGTATGCCCAGTACTTGCCAACAGTGCGTAACAGAGACATGACCGATCGCCCAAGCGGCTAAGGAGTTGATCATTTGGTGAAGAGGATAAAAGTAAAAAGATATCGAAAAATCATGGCAGAAATTTTAAATCCTAGAGGCAACGGTAAAGGGATGTGTGGAGTCGAAGAAGAGAAGAAGGATGTCCTGATAGATGGACCACAATGCAGGGAGAACCATCAAAAGACAATATCACAATCACATGACGAATAAGGTAATACTTCGCTTTATGGCCCCATCTGCGAAAAACAGAGTCCATGGACACCAAACAAACCTTTAAAAACTTTACCTAACCTATAAAATTCCTAAAACTATAACGCACACTTTATAGTTTTAGGATTTTTATAGGTTAGGTTAGGTTTTTAAAGGTTTGTTTGGTGCCCATGATCTGTTTATCGCAGCTGTGGCCATCAAATGAAGTATTGTCAAGAATAAATATCAGTGGACTAAAGATTATGCGAGCAATGTAGTATACAAGTGATCTCTAAATGTAGCCAATCACGTATTGACTCTAATGATAACAAAAAAGACAAATCGAGAAGAAACTGGTGAAAAAGACAACTTGTTCGAGCCTAGAGGCCTAATTATCTACCAAACGAAGCATTTACCCAAGAAAAGAGCCATCAAAACTAATTAGACTGAGACGTGCAACGTTTACAAAAAAAAAGTAAAAACTTCGAAAAAAATAAAAGATGTTCTACAATAAATGTTCTACAAAATATGCAAAAATTAACTCACTCACTCACTGGAGGTCCTGGGACGTGGTTATGATGATCACTGTACATCCATGTTTCTAGGATGGTTGATTGACCTACACTGTGTTTTGGGAGTTCTTTCCACTTATCTTCAAATAACTTTCCACCTTCGTGATTACGAAAGCTAATTCTGGCACTGGAGTAGCTGCAGTAAGCGTCCGTCCCAAGGAGGGTGAAAAAACAGACTGATTTTCCATTCCCGAATCGGCCAATCAAAACACTTGGAGTGACGTCACGCTGTCAACACTGACGAACTACCTAACTACCTTACACCTTGTTCAAATACCCTCAACCATACGCTAATGATGTAAATTTCTAGAGTTACACTATGTCTGGTGTGATAGTTTCTTTTTTCCTACATTTACTTTCACCATCTGGTCGCACACACTTATTGCCGATCACTGCAGGATCACACCTTGTCATCCTTAATATCTCTCTGATTCATAACATTCAAATCCACTGCGCTTGTAATCACAGAAAACGTTAGAAAACGAGAAACTTTCTAAGGAATAGCTCACCTGCTGTATGTTGCTTTATACGAATTGTACCAATGTACGGGCATATAATATTCAGATTATGTACTGAGAGTATTAAGGAGAACTCAAGGTATCTATATAATGATTGGGAAGGTCCAATTGAGACGGACTAGTGTACTATAAGCCTTATAAGTGAAACCGTGGGTCATGATATTTACGTCTGTGAACGATTAGTAAACATAGCTACCTCGGGTATCAGATGAAAAATGAAAACATATGAAAACAATCTGGAAAAATGATAAATGTACCAGACCTATGTGAAGTGTTGGAAGAGATCCAGAAACTATGCTTCAAAGATATATCTTGTATACCTCGGTGTGAGCTTAATACACCTCGTTACCCCATGTGACGAACAACCACGAACAGTGCAATGATCAGAGAATCTTTTGAATGTGTTCAACGATTGAAACGTGTGAGGGGAGGATCCCCTGGACATAGAGCACTACCGATAGAGAAACAATTCTTACTAGAAGGGTTTCAGGGGCTTATTTAATTTACTCAAACATAAAATACACATGAATTTATGGAGCCGCTGTAGTTGGAAGGCTGGTGGGGCGCTGTTCTTTGGCCCTTTTCCCCCACCTGACACGCCAGGTATGTACCTCACTCTTGATACTCCCGGTAGAGGTCAATCAGATCTTGTATTCTTCTGCTTGTGTCAGGGTTATCAAGATGGGTCGGTGACACGGAGTCCCTGGAAGGCCTTCTGGTGCAGGGGGGTGAACCTCATCTCCAGCTCTGCCAGGAGATGGTCTTGGAGTGGAATGGCCACCGTTATTTTGTAGCTGACTTGTTGTCTCGGTGCCGTTGGCGTTTGCAGAGTCTGGACATGGAAGGTGTGACACCTACAGCCGCACACACTTGTTCTGCCTGACGAAACCATTTAGTGTAGTGATCATCCCTGTTGTTTCGGGGGTCTTGTAGTGCTGCTTTCATACCATTAACTTCTCTATTGGCCTCAACTATGTCCTTGGCCTGTGCTTGATGGCTTGTGGTCACACCTTTCAGGTAGTCTATTGCATTGTTGGTGATCACCAGGGAAACAATGAAGTCTGTGCTGGTGATGGCGAGCAGAAGGGCCTGAGCATCAGTCAATGAGTCTGTACACCAGCTGCCAGGATCACCCTGCACAATGTCCTCCATGCAGGCCACCACCAAGGGATGCAACTCCACAAAGGTTTCTAGAGCATCTAGTCATTGCACCCAACGTGTATGGCACAGATTTTTCAGTTTTGTTAACTTGATTCAGGTTGGATCTTCAGAACAGCTGCCTCCAAGAATTATTGCAAGTTTGAGATGCCCTTCCATGAAAGTTGAGATGCTGTCCACGGTGCCCATCATGTTCCTGATACAGGTGATCTGGATGGACTTAACAACAGCCAGGTTGAGGGCATATGATGAGCAGTGCTGGTAGAGGGCCAAGGTATTGGTCTCTTTTATGATAGCTGCTGCCCCTTTGGAACTGCCAGCTCCGTTATAGGCCTGACCTCTAAGATTGTTGATGTCAAGTCCATACCCTGTGATGCTGGTTGTCACCTTATCTGCTATAATTCTGCCAGTTACCCCATTGTCACACTCCAAAAAGTCCACCAGGTCCTCTGTGATGTGGTCATAAGGGTCCACAAACCTTAACACTATGCTGAGTTACTCCTTGTGGGCAGTCACTGACCTCATCAGCCATGATAGAGAAAAAGCTTGTTTTTCTTCACCTTCTGAAGGATATGGTCATGTATCTGTTCCCCACAAATGTGAATCAACTGGTTCTGGATATTCCAAGATGTGTACAGAGCACTTTTGACAGCTGTACCTGGGTGCATACCCAGAAACCTGTCTCCAGCCTCCACATGGAAGTGAAGGAGGGCCTTAAAGTTGCCAGTCCCATCACTGGCAACTTCCTTGGTATTGTCTCTATGACCCAGCAGAGAAATGTTCTGACAACCAAAGAGGATAATAGTCTTGATGATGGCCCGGGGGGAATGGGGGGGGGTGGTTTTGGGCAACCAGGAAACCCCCTGGGTGTGCCCCGGACTCACCATCACCCCCCACCACTACCACTAACACTCACCACCACCAACATATACCCACTTCCCACGATCAACAATAACCACCAACACTTATCATCACCACTCACTACCACCACCACCAACATTCCCACCACTACCATCACTCCCCAGCGCCACCAACACTCCCTACCACCCCCCTAAGTTTTATCACTTGCCATGGGGTTGGCAGCTGAAGGTATAAAATGAGACAAAGAGTAAAATATAGTAATATTTATACTGTTTCCAAAAGAAATATTGATACTGTATACTGTATAGTAAATGAGCAAAATATTACAGAAATTACAGTACTGTAGCATTTTGAGAACAAAGATACTGCTGTAATGTTTCACCTCATGAAAAGTAAGACAAAACTTCAGTTCATGACATTCCTTTCATTGCAACTTGGATGGTGAAAATTATACATTCATTACAATATAAATTCTGCACAATGCTATTATTTTGCCTGATATCCAACATTTGTGCTCTTGACTTAGCCCTAGGCATGGCCCCAAGTGCAACTGTACATAGGTACAAAATCTTACATGTAACCCTGGCACACTTGAATAATATGCATGCACCTTACTAGTGCTGCAATGTTTGACCTAATTTCCAGTTCACTACAATACAGTCCACAAGCTGAATGCTTTAAAATATTTGACATATACATTATGTTAACAATGACAAACACACTTCACTTAACTGATTTTCCCTTCAAAAAGAAAAATATCTGAATTTTCAATCTCTTTGTACTCCATGTTTAAGATTACCTTGTATTGACAAGTTACATATCTTCTGAATGACACTCTGACTTTATAATATTTATCAGAAGCTACTTGTACTATACTGTACTGGAAATAAAAAAAAACATTTAGATAGCCTCCTGTATCTTAACACTTCTTGTACAGTACCTTTATTATCTGGTACAGTATGAAAGAAACTTTTCCTTTTACATTAGACTCATAACTTGCACGAGGGTTACGTTCCTGGGACTTCATGTGTATATATATATATATATATATATATATATATATATATATCCTTTAGTGACAAAGTTTTTCTCGTATAAAATGTCACTGAACTGACCTGGGAGAATATAATTTCCATTACTGGGATTCTTGTGATGTAGTGATTAATTTGAATATAAACATGCTATAGTTTGCACTAGACATAAAAATTTTGACAATTTTGAGCTTGAAATTGAAAATTGTAACCTAACCCCCGGGGTAATCTGCGTATAGTTGAAACCGCATAAGTTGTGAGTCTACAGTACAATTATTGTTATTTGTTATGAGATTCAGTGTAGGGTGACACATACAGAATCTTCCAGATGCACTTTCAAGTGTTGTAAACTTAATGACAACAACTATATCATTTGCTGAAAATAATTTCATGTAACTTTTGCTGTGACATCAGGGAAGCATTTGCCATCTGCCTGCAGTACAAAGTAAGAGGAAAGGATAAATATCACTTCATTACAAACACACACAGAAGAAACCACAAGAAGTAAAGGTGGAGTACCAAATAAAAGGTAATGTATAAACCTTTCACATTTGAAAACCAAAAAGATTAAATTGAAGGGAATGATCTTTAGCTTCAAAATCTGTTACAAAAAATCTAGTGTTGCTTTAGACAACATAAACCAAATAAGAAAAGTTCTATTTTGAGGATTTGGACTTGGATTTAGATTCAAACTGAGCGCTATTATGAAGGCTTGGGTAAATATCCTAACCTCACCCAATTTGGTTTAGAGTCTGAGTACATATCTATATTATAAAAAAAATAAAATAAATAAATAAATCCTTAAAAAGAATTATCATAGAAAAGGATGACAAATCCTGTACTTTTCTCATGGCAGTGATTCTTTGGGCAACAAATATTAAGAAGTCTATACATACATGAATGTCACCTTCCCTTTGAAAGAAATTTCAAACAGAAAAATATTCTTTTCTATTTTTATGACAGCAATTTCACTTATGAATTTGAATTTCCCTTTTCAAAAGGGTCAACACAGGGCAGAGACCAATCACCTCATTATACAGTGATCAATTAAGAATATTTGCAGAATTAAAAAGTGGATTTTTATGGGGCAATGTGAGTGACATAAATGAGGAAACATTGAGGGGAATCAGTTTTCTCAACAAATTTAATGTTCTTTTTTTTTAAATATTGTTGGAGGAAAAGGAAGGTAGAAAAACAAGATTAATAATATTGTCAAAACTCTGAAGCAAAATCTAAAATACTTTCATGAAAATGCCATCACAGTAACTATCAGTTCAAAAAAGTGATACCCAGTTCTTGCTATCCCACTACATGTGAAACATTTTGTTCATTATGTACTTTAAATTATATGCTGCATATAAAGTATATTACCTCATAAAATTTACATTCATAGTTTTACAATTCAGGTACTCATTTTTTCACCAGGTAAATTTTCTTAAATTTTAAGGAAATTAATTGCACAGTTTAATAAAAAATGAAACCAGAGAGGACGCATATCAAAGATGATCTACCTACAACTACCACCACAACTTGGATATTTTCTACTAAAAATAAAGTTAGAATATTGTTTGCTTAACCTTCTCAACCCAAAGAGTTTTCACGGTGCCTTTGTTGGCAACAGATATTCAAAGCTTTGTTTTACAATTCATTTTCCACTGTACTTCATCGTCCACTGAGGTGTTGAATATGGAAAATATTTGCTTCCATAATTATGTCCTTGACCAATAATCTCATATCATATTTTTTTCTTCAATATATACTATGCCCAGTACTACAATTTTAACAATATTGTATATGAGCTGTACTTGCAAGTGAATCCGTTATTTGTAAGATACCCCTTTCTGATTGAAAGTTTCTGAACATGGTGACATCATTTTGGGGGGAAGACTGTGTACAGTACAGTACAATAGAAACAAAGATAGAGCAATTAAAGCAAATAAACAAAACATAAATTAATACTCACCATCAATGAAGAAGTATGTAGCCAGTCTCAGACCTTATGACAAGGATTATCAGTCATCTTTGTCAGCTCTCGCAATTTTAGTTGCAATATGGCATGTCAGTTATATATTATGTCATGTCAATATTTGGAAAAAAGATATGTTGAAAAGTTTACAACAATGTAAAAGGTGATAAAATGGTTAATACTGAAGCAGCAAAATATCACAAACTAATTAGTTAAATGTCTGGAAAACTGCTTTAAACAAATGCCTATAATATGAAATGAGGCTTCAGATAGTATTAACAGACACTTGTGACAACCCTCATAACTTTGGTTATGATACATCATGTCAATTTCTTTCCTCAAAAAATATATGCCACATACATTATAGCAGGTAGTCTTTGATTACTCCCAAGGAGTTGTGATCCTGCCTTGCCAGCTGTTCCCACACTGTGGGTTGGTATTAGGAAGGGCTCCAGCCGTAAAACTTTGCTTCAACATGCCTAATGGCAACTGGGTCATCAGACCTGTGCTCATCCTCGGGTCTCTACTGCATGCCTAGTGAGATAAGGTTAATAATACTGTAGTCTTAACTGCAGTGGCAAGCAGTGATACCAACTATGATGGATTTGAAAGGTGGATGTTGAGTTTAAGGAGTAACTGGAGTTAGACAGTGGATGATAATATTAGATGCTGATAGCAAGGAGTTATAGGTTCAGTGAAGTCCTGCATAGATGCTGGCTGAGATGGTTTGGGCTTGTGGAGAGAATGGATGAGACCAATTGGGTCAAGAGGTGCATGAGCCTAAATGTGGAGGGGTGGAGAGTCAAGGAAAGGCCAAGAATGCCATGGGAAGAGGTTGTAAGAGATGACATTAGAGTTAGGGACCCGACAAGAGAGACTGCAAGAGATCGTATAACATAGAGAACTGCCATCAGGTAACTGCAGCTAACCCACACAAGCATGTAAAATGGCCATAAAACAATGATGGAGATGTCAGAGAGACAAGATATACCCTGTAATTATTAAGAAAGTTAAAGAGTAACCAGATTTAAAAGATTAGTAGAGAGGATGAGCAAAGGTGTAACTGTGAAAAGTTGGTATGGGAATAAGTGAAGAGTTTAGGTTACATCAAATGAGGCACAGTAAAGTAAAATGAAGTCAAGTCAAGTCTCCAAGATGAAAACTTTGGAAAAGTTTGAGCCATCTTACTGATTGATGTAAAAGTTATGAACAGATTTGGTAAAAATACTACAGACTGCACTTCATTCATTTACTTAGCTGGATATATTTTCAGTTGCTTTTGTAATTCCAAATTATTACTCAATGGTCTAAATACATGCTGCTTTTCACAAAAATATATGTCATTTTTTGTACTAAGTCAAAATTGCATGGTTCTATACACATTAATATCATTTCGCATGTATCATCACGTAAAAGATCTGTATATTGTACCTTCTTAATCTCCTTACAGTCATCCCCCAATTTTCAAAAAATTTTTTTTTTTTTTTTACAGAAATTCACTATACTGTACAGTAATCCGTATGGTTAATTTATGACTTATATTCGATAAACGGAGAGCAAAAATTGATACAAGTGATATCTCCATTAGCCAGAACAATTGGTGCAGAGCACTTCCAGGAATGAGAGGTTTCCGGGTAACAAGACAACTCTCTCAAAGCCAGAAAAAAAAATCCCTCATCTCCCAGAATTTTCAGGGTAACGGAAAAATTTTCTTGGAAGTTCCAGAATTGCACATTACATCATTTTTTGAACCTGGAAAAATATCCACCATCCCAGGAGGTCCCCGACTTACGAACAACCGCCAATGCAAACGAGGTTAAACTTGAAATTTACAGCATTTTATTAACCTGATGACTTATTCTTTACTTTCATTTACTGTATTTTGTCATTCTATTTCTTATTTTGTCTTAAATTAAGTGATTTTCGATGTATATAAGGACATAGGCTATGATATAGAGGAATTTTAACCATTGTTTTCTAAGTACGGTATGCATATAGCATGTGTTGCAACTTCAGTATAAATCTGAATTGCGAACGTCCTCAGGAATGGAACCCATTCATAACCTGGAGACCCCCTGTACAGGGAAGTTTTTCTCAAATTTCCGGAAAATTTACCTGATTTTCATCTCTCAAACCAGCAAAAAAAATTCCCCCATCCACGGAATTTTCCGAGTACTGGACTGGGAAGGTTTTCTCAGAATTTGCCAGAAATTATGTCTCCCAGAAAATTCCGAGTTTGGGAATGATTTTCAAAGAAAATTTCAATTCCAGCTATCAGAGAGTTCCGGGTTTGAGAGATTCCAGCTAATGAAGATATTACTGTACAGTATAACGGAAATTTGGGTATAAATTTGGTATATATTTTAGAAGCAAATAAAAAATACCAAGGTAAGATTTTCCTCCTCCCTCCAAAAATGAGCATAGCACATCATGAAATACAATAGCACACATTTTATGTCCAAAAAATAGCTCTTTCTGCCAAAAATAAACCAAACAGTTCTGCCAGCCACCCAGTCAACTCAGAGATGTGTGTGGTTGCTGCCACAAGGTGCTGTGTGTATGCTGTGACATCACATCAGAGGAGGGAGCACGACTGGGCTGGAACCACAGTTACAGCCGACTGCCTCCACACATGCGTTCATTTCCCACACATACACACCCACGCTCCTCATTTTTCTTACTTTATAGTTTTACATAATATTTTCTTTATTTCTAAGTCACAGTACAGTACAATATTGATTTTTTTTCCTAAGTTTTACAGTTTCATTACATTTAAGTGTAACAATGGCAACATGTGTAGCTATCTCACAGCTGACTGGCAACATGTATAATGGAGATTTCTACAGTACTGTATTATTATTCACCCACACACACCTCTCTTCCATTGTTGTAGGAACTATCTCCCCTTACATTATGGGAGTACTATATGGGAAAATGGGTTCAATATACAGTATGGAATTTCGATCTATAGCATAAGTTTATGGAATTTAACCCATCCGTACATTGAGGGATGACTGTACAGTACTTGTTTTGCTACTAATGGTCATATTACCACCACAATTGTATAAAATTAAGCATTCATATATGTGTGTATAACATAGTGGGTAAATAACCTAAGAGTCTGTTCTTGTGCTAAAATTTGTCTAGTTCCTAACATCCGAGACATGACTATATGGAATAAATTCCTTGGGCTGAGAAGGTAGTTTCACATTATCTAAGCAATTTATGATTTTACAATTCCAAGCTATGGTCATTTTTTATTCATGCAAAATGAATACAAAATTTAATTTATACAGTTAAAATAACAAATGGAGGAAATGTCATATGATAATAATAAAAAAAAATGGAAGATAACATCTCTTACATATATAATATGTTTTATTTTCCTTATTTTAAGGAAATTCTTACCACATCTCTACTGTCTTAAACATTAACATATACACTGTCGCCACCACTTATTGTCAAAGTGAAAATTTACAAATTAATATCTAGAAACTTTGAGAATATTGCAATGTATATACTGTACTGCACTGTATATACAAGAGCATCATTTTGACAGGCTCAAATTTTCAAATACTGTAGTAAGAAAAAAATTACAAACTTCAGGACTCCATAAACAATATAGTTCCTACCTATCAATGTGCAGAGATGAGATCAAGTAGTAAATGAGAAAAGGTAATCTGAACATTCATTATGTACAATAACAATATAAAAAAAATCACTAAAATAGAATTTGTTGCTAAGCAAACAAAATTCTCTACAAAGGAAGGCTGTATTAAAAATAATCTATAAATTACTGAGTCAAACTCTGTCATAATAATAAAGAACTGAGTCAAACTTCCTCAGGTTGGCACAGCATCTGTCACTCAGGAGATTCTCTTTCCTCTGGAGCCTCCATCTCCTCTGAAGCTGAAAAATAAAGTCTTATATCAATTTATCAGAATCAAATATATTACAATTGGAAAGGTTGTATTAAAAACAGGTTGCTTTTATTTCAACATGAACACAATATTTTTAATGATTTAGTATCTTTAGAAAAGTCATAAAATTACTGACTGCTCAACAGAGACCTTCTATAAAACACTCCTTCCAAATATCAACAAAACTTAATTAGCACACATGACTTGTGCTGAAAAGACACATCTCCAAATATCCAGACAACATTTGGAGCACAGAAGTTATACAGTTTCATTTGAGGCAAAATGAATGGGCTAACCTTGAGAAACCCACTGTACGACTGTGCCGGGAATAAGACATACCCAGGGAATACGTTCAAAAAGGATCAATCACTATTAGGAAGTAAAAGGAATATAGAAGACAACTTAACCTGTTTGTAAAAGACATAAAGCACAATCTAGTGATATGAAAAGCACAAACATAAACTAATAAAAAACAACTCAAGTACAGTACAGTACAGTACTCATACAAGTGTCCCTTGTTTAGTGTTAATTCACTAAATAATAATTCAGTTTGGCGATATAAAACTTTTAACACCCTTTCTTGTTTAACATTAGGTCAAAATTCAGTTTAGTGATGTTTGACTCGTTATCAAGGGGTAATAACTGGGGATGAGGTGGCCAGTTGTGGTACTCAAATGTGGCTTAACAATGAGGTTGCTGGGTGGCAGGCAGACAAAAATGAGTACTGTATCATGATCTCCCAGTGAGACTCTCGCCCGTATTATTAAACATCTTCCCTTGAAGAGGGTCGTTGTATTTCAACCCGAGTTTTAAACTAAATGAGTCCTAAGGGACACCACAGTACAGTACTTAACGGGGTGGTGTGGCGGTAAAATTAACTAATTCCAATAAAATTAATTTATAATATTAGAATTAGTTAATTTTACCGCCACACCACCCCGTTAAGTACTGTACTGCAGTGTCCCTCAGGACTCATTTAGTTTAAAACTCGGGTTGAAATACAACGACCCTCTTCAAGGGAAGATGTTGTTTAATAATATGGGCATCTGTAATTACCCAAACAGAAACTAACATGGGAATTCCCAAGTCCTTAGAAAGAATTTTAACGTCACAGAATTTTTTTTTTTTTTTTTTATAATGATCACTTTCCCTGTCCCCTATTCACCAGCCTCAAAAGAGGGAAATTGTGATGACGCTTCACCTTCCCTTCTACCATAATGGGGGAAGAAGGGTTGAAGGTCTTGTTACAGCTCTGACTGCCCAATTAGCACACCAAATCACAGTGACTGTCCAACCCCTATGAATCCAGGTCAGATGACCATTTTTGGTACTGTTCCACCTGAACAGACATGAACCCATCTGGCTTCAGGCTCTGCCAGAGAAAGGGATTAAAACAATCCCCTATTTCTGACTATTGCCTTTGAACCAACCCTTGCTGCATTAGCTTAGGCCTTAGGGCAAGACAATAAGTTTTGGTGGGTATGGAACAAATCAATCTTGAACTAAGTAAAATACAAATATAAGCCTGAATAAAAGAAACATTAAACCTGAATAAAGCAGCCATTTAAATAAATAAATTAATAATAATAAAATAACAAACAATAAACATTATAATCCAGAACAGAATACACATATAAATAAAGCAAAAATATAAACCTAAATAAAACATTAAATATTAAATATAAACCCTAAACTTGTGGCCTCACCTGAGTTACTGTTTGTATCAGAAGAACTCTCAGCTGGAAGAAAAATGAAGAACATGAGTCAAGCACACAATCCAACATGCTCAGGTTCATGACAATGACAAGAAATTATGCCTATACTGTACTCAAGAGATGTTGCTACCTCACTGCACATCTGACACACATTCATCTTTGTTCTCATTCAAATACAAAACAGCATCTACTTAACTCATAACTTAGGTCTTTCTAAATTTCCCCCAACACTGAACTATATCAGGTGAAGTATTATACTGTATCTAGTTTCATTCCAATATTCCAATCATCACATATGTGATATACCTGTACTTCCTATTTTTACTCTCATCAACTTCATTACCATTAAATTAATCATTTTGGTTTAAACTTTTTCATAAAAACAGATCTATCACATGACAATCACAATTATTGTGCAAGAACTCACTGCTAGACGGGTTGTAGAACAAACCAGTGGCAGGATCCAATTCCCCAACAGGAGCAAGAGATCCATCATCAAGATGTGCAACGGGGAGTTGACTGGCCAACCCCGCCATCAGACTTGCCATCGAAGTTGCCTCCTGTAAATAACAGAATCACAATTCAATACAGTGTCTTCCAGCATTCTTTAATATATATATATATATATATATATATATATATATATATATATATATATATATATATATATATATATATATATATATATATATATATATATATATATATATATATATATATATATATATACAGTAATGACTTTGGGTCACATAGGATAGGCAACACCACTAGATGGGATCGCACTGGAAAATGCTTGGGAACCCCTGTACTAGACCATAAAATTAATAAAAATTTAATGTTTCACAGACTTCAAAGAATGAGCCAATTTGGTTGAGGTAAGGGAGTTTTGGTCAAAATATGCTTACACTCCATATGGAAGCCACATTTGGTTTACACAATGAGGAAAAAAAAAAGTTTTATACAGAAACAACTGGTGCTGCATTAATGTGTCCTTACCCCTCCCTGCTCCCCGATGTCACCTGGAGAATCTAATAATTCAATTCCAGCCTGGCGGAGAAGGTTTCTAGCCGACTCCTTGTCTCCACGACCTAAGATCTCCACCGCCTCCTCTGAAAAAATTGACCAGTTTTAGGCATTGTTCATATAGTATATACTGTACAGTACCAATTATATGAATTTCTGGTAGAATAAAAGTTGCAGGAAAGTGGGTATTAAGGTACAATTGGATTGCATACGAGATGAAAAATTAATTGGAGATACTACAGGTATTCAATGATGATAATTGTTAACAAAATAAATGGCAGAGTTCTGTACAGTACTTAACAGCTAGACACAAATATCACTGTACTGGGTGAGATTACGTGTGTGTGTGTGTGTGTGTGTGTGTGTGTGTGTGTGTGATGTTGTTTGTGTGTGTGATGTTGTTGTGTGTGTGTGTGTGTGTGTGTGTGTGTGTGTGTGTGTGTTGGTGTGTGTGTGTGTATGTGTGTGTGTGTGTGATGTTGTGTGTGTGTGTGTGTGTGTGTGTGTGTGTGTGTGTGTGTGTGTGTGTGTGTGATGTTGTTGTGTGTGTGTGTGTGTGTGTGTGTGTGTCATAATGAGGCCTATTCATAAATGTGCAAAGGATGAAAAGTAAAACCATAGATTGATGTATGAAATTCCATTCTATAACCAATAGAAAGTTGTGATTTGTGAGATTTCCACACTAGGGCACACCAGGCAGATCCTGCCAGGTCCACTGGCTTGGCTTTCTAATGACAGGTTGTGCTATCCTGTTGGATCAGTGTCGGGGACTCACCTCAGCATCCCAAAAGAAGGAGAGAGGGATACAGAGTTGCTTGATCCTGACTCAGTTTTAAAATGAGATTACAAGATTAATCCTCCACCCATAACCTGAGTCAGTATCTTAAAACTATGTACAGCATACCACAGACAACTAGAGAGAGGGAGGAGGAGGTAACCAAAGGCTCAAAGTTCTATACTCATATGCAGCCCCAAAGGGAGCAACCCTATTAAAGCTATTTAATATCAGATTGAGAATAAGGAATAAAGGAACAAACTCTGAGCTCTCCTTGGCCATGCAATCTTTAGGAGAAGAACTAATAACTATCAACCTGAACCCTCCACTGACATGCCAACCCTAGGGTCTTGCATCCCTTTATGGCAAACTGGTAAGAGTCAATTACAATCTGCACACTATAAGCTCAGCAGCTCTGGGTCCTAGCTCCTGATACTAACCCAACATTAAACTGAGATACATGTATGTATTCTCAAAATATCAAAACATGTGAAACAGAGAAAGTGAATCTTATTGGCATGACTGTCCATTGGGGAACACATGTAACTTGTAGATTAAAGGTAAAAACAGCAGTCCTAATTCTCCCTTATTTCTTTATGATAATGAGTAGAAAGTAGAAAAGGATTTGGATAAAAATAAACTAGGTAGAGAAACCAAGCCCTACTGAACCAGTAAACTGTCTCAAGTCAGAAAGCACTTGAAGAAAAATCATAATTTTGTGTAAATTTTGTAGATAACTGAAGGTGCCAGGTTTTAGAGCTCCCAATTCTCAAATTTCAACTGTACTAATACTACTATAATTGCTTTTACTTCTACTACTACTACAATTACTTATGCTATTACTACTAAAGCTGCTATTACTTCTCCTACTACCGTTATGTCTACTACTAAAAAAAACTGCTCCCTACAGACTCGGTCAAATAGAACTAATAATAAAAAATATATAGTGCTATTTTAATATCCTATCACAATTTTATGATAAGAATAGAGAAATATTATGAGAATATTAATTAATCTTGATATTTAAAAAGCATGAATGAATGAAGATGACAATGTTTAGATAAGAGCCTGAAACAGCAAGATTAAGTTTGATCCTAATTAGTACATCAATGAAGTACAAATTAATGTAACGACCTACTCTATTAATACAGAGACTTAATGCATTAAGTAAGGAAGCATTAAAATATGTGTTATCCAACCTTACCTAACATTTGCATTTGTCCCTCAGGCAAACTATGTCCAGGTGAGTCTTCCCCTTCTAGTCCCAAATTGAGCCATTCTCCATCACCATCACCAGCACAACCACTCCCACTCCCTCCAGTACCTCCAGTACCCTCACTACTACTACCACTACTACTACTACTGCTTGCTGTAGGAGTGGTGATGGCAGAAGAAGAAGTAGTTGTGTTGGTTACTGTATTAGCCAGGGTGGTGGTTGAGGTATTGGTAGCAGTGGTGGTTGTACTGGCTGTTGTAGATACATTACTTGTGGTGCTGCCACTGTTAGTTATTGATGATGAGGATTCACCTGAAATAAATTGAGTCTACAGAATACTTAGCAGTAAATACAATAATAAAACATTGATCATTTCTCTATGCAATCAAACAGCATCTCAGAGGACATAACTGCTCCAGAAACTAATTTTAAAATATAAGATTATTTTTGAAGAAGAAATTACTGACTTTAAATTCAATGGTGCAAAGAATGAAGTGAATGTTACAGAACCATTTTAAGATTGGGGGGAGAGAAAGATAAAAACCTAACCCGCCAATTCAATAAATGACACTTTTCGAAATATCAAATTAGCCGGACTGTGGTAATGAGGCTCGGTGAACCACAGGCTCAGACTGAGTGTTGAGATCACTGGTACACAGTTATGCCTTTAAGAAGAACCTCATGCTTTTACCTCCCACAGCCATAGTCAAGTGGTCAGGAGTCCAATGGGCCACATCCATTCCCTATGCTGAATAGGGGATTTATGGGATGAGGACAGTTCAAATTTATGTCATCATTCCTCCCGCCCCACAAATTGGGAATTTATAAGCTTCAAGCCCTTATAGATGCTACTTCATTTCAGATACCGTCCATAATACCCTGAAAGCTCTTATGCCATGAACCGTGGCTTCATAAAATGTCTAACATCTATACATACAAGGGTGCTTATTATTAAAGAGATTGACATGAAGGATGAACGAGTCCTCTTCGTGATTTTAAAATCTCCATATCTGATGACGGTTTGTGGAAAAGCTTTCTTCATAAGTCATGTGCACATGGAAACATGCGACTTTTTAAAAAGAGAGGCCCTGTTTTGTGGCAAAGGACTATAAATTTTTCAATCATTACAATCAAGTTGACTCCAAATTAAGAACTTAACTCAGGACAAGACGTTTATAAATACTGTACATACCTTCCAAGTGTTAATGAGAAAATTGGCGGACATGAAGATACTTCATTATTATCAAGAACAATACTTGGCTCAGGTTTGGTCAACCATACTATTTTTTAAATATAATTACAGTATACTGTAATACAAACAGTGGTCCCTGCAAATCTTCTTGGGTCTATAAATTCATCCCCTGTGGCTTGCTGGCTTAATAGAGTTAACTGATCCAAACATAGTTACAAAAAATGGCAGATGATAAAGTAGAACTAGTAGTTGTGAATAACATAATTAGCACTTTGCTATATTGTACTGTACAAACTCACGATTCTATGGATGTGAGAATGAAGCTAAATTAATCACATGCATTCACTACCATAATGCAGAACAGTGATCACAGAGTCACATTTAGAAGTGTGGAATGAAATACCACAGAGCAGAAACTATTCTCCTTACTTGACATTCTTATAAGAACCAAGTGTGGGCTGCATTAGGAATGATGCATCAGCATATCTACAGATGGGGCAGCAGCAATGACTGGTAGGGAAAGTGGCCTATTCCCTTGGCAGGTTGCTAGTCCACCGAAGGGTTGTTCCATCATCAGCAAATGCACCGAAGAGTGTACAGTACTCATTTTATTGCTGTGTGTTCAATGAGGATACTTGAGCCTCCACTCTGGCCAGAATTCAAACCCAGGATCATTCATTTGTGGGAGCAATGTTCTAGCACAGAGTTATTTCCTGTTATTTAAATATATATATAAAAAAAAGCCCTCTAGAGTCTTTCCTCCACATCCCATGATTTTAATACAAATACAATACCTCCATTTTTTCCTTCACATACTTCTAATCTTTGTCTACTCCTACTCAACCCTCTCAACAATTATATAATAATTATTTAATTATTCACTGTATCTATTGTTGGTGTACCCATACCAATATTGCTAATTCTCTGTCTTCATTGAATAGATTTATTTGATGATTACCTAACTTCCTTAACCTTAAAGCAGATGAGGTTAGAAACTATCAACAAAATATTCATCTGTTTCTTCCACTGTATTTGTATCCCTCATTTTCCTGTCTAATATTCAATACCATTACTTAAACAAAGGCTCTATCACTCCGTTAATAACAATCTTGTCTGCATCTGCAAATTGACAATGTTAAATTACTCGACGGCTTTTCTAATGCACCACAGACTGACTTTTATCCAGACTAAGAGACACTGCATCCTCCATGTGTCCATTCAAAAATGATTCATGATCTTATTTCCCATCCTTGTTTACTTCTGTCACATCTCCCAAACTCATACCAATAATTGTATCTCAAGAGTTAACTAATCCCGAATGAACCGTAACATCTGTACACATTATAACTGGCAGTTCACAATTCTGGTGATTCATACCTCACTGTATTTCTCTATAAAAATATCAAATATCAGCAATTATCCAAATTAACTCAGTATTTCAAGAGCCTTTATACTGACTTCAAATTCAAACTGACAAAAGCAATCTCTCTTCATCACTACTGTAGTAAATTCAAATAAAAGGCATAAATGATGTAAAAGTTGATCATATATAAGCAAGAGATTAAACCAAACCTAAATACAGTACAATGATTACATCCTACACTGTAGTAAAGCATCATAAATTTATTACTACATAAATCCTCAAACACATTTTAAACAGGTAAGTAAATATAAAATAAATGAAGACTTCTAAAATACTTACCATGTACTGTACTAAGATAGTACAGTAATACAAAAAAAATAATAATATCGAAGTTAGTGAGATTAGTACAGTACTGTATCTAAACCCTGAATGAGTCTACTACGAAGTGATTGTTCAACTTTACTGAAATGCCTAGAAATGCAACAATGACAGTAATACTATTTCAAACTTTGTAAAAATAAATAAATAAATGAATTTTTGAGGGCCACAGATGTCATAAAAAAAAATCTTCACATACATATCCTTCCAACTGTAGGAAATGAATTTTTTTTACATCTAATTTCTCATACCTTCAGTTTCTACGTCTGAAGAAACAGTTTATTTAGGTTAGTGTTAAGGCCAGAATGTTTAACCTGGAAGCTGATCTGTGTTCAACTACATTTTATAAACCATTACACCTTTACACCCTCAAAGCTGAATGCTAGTGAAGAAACTGTATTCCCCTATATAATTGTATAATTCACAGCTGCATGGGTTAACACCAGAAAATTTAAGTCAATTCAGGCCAAGCATCAGGAATATCATCTTAAAGGTCCACTGTGTGGCAAAATCAAACTATCCAGCTCCTCCTTTGCCAGTTAGCTAAGAGTTCCTTACCTGGGATGGAGTGAATAAGGGGCTCAATATTCAAATTTATATGAATACAAATGGGTTAGGTTCCTTGAAAATCATTTTTAAGTGAATATTCGTACATTATAGTGAATAACATAATGTACAGGAAAAATAGGGTTTGATTCCCAACAACAACAAGAAAAACCTAATATTATATCTTAAAAAAAAAGGTTCACAATCAATCAAAAAACTACCTAACTACAGGATACTATAATTTTGTACCTAACTATAGTACTGTACTGTACTATAATTTAGTATCTACCAAGTCAAATACAGATTTGGTACATTACCTAAAGGGAGGATAGTCAGGACTCGCCACATGGGGTGTGGAGGGGTAATCATTCGTATAAGTGAGGTGGGAAGATACGATTTTGGAGATTTTTCTTTTTCTGGTTTTATAGAATATACAGTAGTCCCAGTCACACAGCTCAATCAACCCATAAATCTGTTGATGCATTACCAATGTGTCTAAACCAGCGTACTGTATAAGTTATAAAGGGACGGAGACAACACCGGTGAATTAGGTTTTGGTTTAGGGGCTTGACCCTAAATTAATACTCCTTATGATCCATTCCAGATAAAAGGAGGAGGAGTAATGATAAATGACAGAGAGAAAATTTAAGTACATGCAGTGGAAGATCTGGTAAACACAGAGAAAAAATAAATAAATAAAATATGGACTAAAATATCTGAATTTCTTATTTGTTAAAAATGAGTGAGAAAAAATTAAAGGTATAAAAAACGAAGCACAAAACATATGAGATTTAGCTGAATCTAATAATAAAGGGGGTCCCCGGGGTCCGTTCCTAAGGACGTTCTTAATTCGGAAATGTATGTAAGTCGGAATACATGCTATGTGCATACTGAACTTAGAGAACAATGTTTAAAATCTGACTATATTGTAGCCTAAGTCTTTATATGCATCTAAAATCACTTAATTTAAGACAAAAGAATAAAATAACAAAATACAGTAAATGAAAGTAAAAAATAGTCATCAGGTAAATAAATTACAGTGGTCCCTCAGTTAACGAACACAATTAGTTCCACAGAGTCATTCGTTAACCAAAAATTTTGTTAACCGAATCTATTATTTCAATGGGATATTGGGTAATTGGTTCCAACTAACAGAAAAAGTCTATACAAAGTACTGTATACCGGTAATAGAATTAACAAAACATTAAATATAAACTAAATACAGTACTGTACTGTACAGTATACTGTACAATAATAAATAAAAAACAATAGAATACTGTATTTTAACTTAATTTGAGGTGTGTATGTCGTATTACCGGCAGCTTTGTTTACATATCAAAACAGCTGATTGTAGAGGCAGTCGATGATGAAATGCCATATTCTTTACAGAGTGCATTGGTTCTAATGCCTTCTTCTTGTTTCATAATAATTTCTGCACTATATATTATCAATATGTTAGCTAAATTTCAGAATGACCAATAACTTTAATATAAAAAGTGCAGAAATATTCAAGAAACCAACTTTCTTGATATTTACTTCTCTGGAAACGAATGTAAACATAGAACCAATTACTGTATTGGCGGACTAGCCGATCAGCTGATGCTCACAACAAAACGTGTTTGTCGTAAGGATTTCGTTAATCAAAGTTGTTAATCGAACTGAAAATCCTTATGGGAGTTAATTTGTTAACCGAAATTTTGTTAATCGAACCGTTCGTTAACCGAGGGACCACTGTACTCTAAATTTAAAGGTTAACCTCGCTCGTATCGGCAGGCGTTCGTATTTATGACAGCATCTTTACCAAACTATCTACGTTACCGTACACCCAGGTATCCAAATGATTCATATTCATAAGCTTACTAATAAAGGAAGGTGTAAATGAAAAAGCTCAACATTATTAGGTTTTACCAGAAGAAAAAGTTTATGAAAGGAAAGGAAATGTAAGATGTCTATCTTTCACATTATGTACCCCCCAAAGACCCTTGTGATCAACACAAACCTTCCCTAAAAGTATCAAACACTGATTCTCTTTGCATCATAATGTGTTAACTCCTGCACTATGGGGATGCCACTTTTGATATTGTATTTTATTTGGTTAGCTCAGAGGGGAGCCCATACACAAGGAAGTGGTTAAGTGTGGATAAATTCATACGCTAGTTTGGCTGTCACAAACATATACCATACAACACTCAGTCCATTTCCAAAAATTGAGAAGGGAAGTTTTGTAGGATTAGCATATTTTGAGGATTACAGCAGTACAGATCAATAACAATCACTCTACCACCCATATGATCTACACGATGAGTCTAATAGGACCAGAAAAGATCCTAACAGATAAGGTAGTAGCACCACTATTGCGGCATAAAAAGCAAAGTAAAATGATTCAGTAAAATTAAGGAAAGAAACAAATGCTCACATTGGAAAGGCCAGTGGGAGATGGTCTAGGCTGTCTGGGTCTTAGCAAAGCAAATTGTGTCATCAGAGACTTGCCTAATTCATTAGACAATGATCTAAATAATAGCAGCTTAACTTTCCTCATTTTTGATGAAAAGCTCATTTATACATGACTTTGCAAAATGTAAATACTGACTACAACCTCCAGAAAAAAATTTAATCTTCTTATTATAAAAACTAAATTTATGGATGAGAAATCTGAGATACCCCGGTACATTGTTGAATTTCCAAGACCTCTTCACATCCTCACTTCCCCCTAAAAAGTTCAACAGATTTGAGTCTTCACATCATCTCTGGCTTCACCTATTATATGTCTTTTCAAAAATAATTTACATGTTGTCTTGACATTGGTCTTTATCAAAAAATAAATAAAATAAAATAAAATCATTTGTGGGCCAGAATATTATGCAGCTATGTATTTTACTCCACCACTCTTAGTCTTTTTTATGAAGAAAACTCACATGGGTTTATCTTTAAAAGCAAAGAAGCTATTGCTACACTGGTAAGGATTAATCAATGCATTATACAAATCTGACCTACCCAGAGAAGTAAATTAAGAAACTTCAATGTTAAACTGTAGAATCATTAATAATACTGATAAAATTTTATCATATGTACAGGTATCCCTCAACATATGAATCGGTTAGGTTCCAAAAAACATTACGTAAGTGAATTTACGTATCACGAATAAATAAACATATGGGAAAATAGGGTTCGGTTTCCCAATGGCAAAAATACCCCAATATCAAAACCCCAAAAACACGAAATCGGGGCTACAAACAAGAACAAAACCTACCAAGCTAACACTTACTGCACACTTACTCCCTCACACACAAAAAAAATTAAGAAAATACTGTATAGCTTTGGTACATTACCTTAAGGGAGGGCAGTCTTAGCTCACCACCGCAAGGACATTAGCAGGAGTGGGCTGTGTAAGGGCTTTAATCTGCTCATTTCTCCCCAAGACATTTCTTGAACATTTGTATTACGAGGGATACCTATATGTGATTGCTCAAGAGATAGCACACTGCAAAATGCTAAAAAATTTTCACTGCTTTTTGGTACATCAGTAGTTAGAACCTATTTGTCTGCAGCTTAAATACATTACCATTCAAATAATAATGTACACCAACTACTTTTCCAACATGTCTAAATGTATTTCCAGAATCTAACTCCATGTAATGTTGTACCTCATACACTGTTATGCGTCTAGGCATTTCCATGTAAGAAAAAGATACTGAAAAACAGTTTAGTTGTGTAGTGATGGAAGGATTGGCTGTTGCCATACTTGTGGAAAATAAAGAAGATTCATTTCAAATTATAACACCAAGATGCCAACAATGAAGCTTGGACTTGATACCAGGCATTTAACTACTCAACTGCTGATAAACTGAGTGAATTTTGGAATATTGCAAAAGCACCTAACAAAACGACTGACATTTTTTAGTAGTACATCAGAAGTGGGAACCTCTTTTTTTTTTCAGATTAAATTCATATGCAAATAATAATGTGCATTAAATATGTCCGATTGTAATTCTCATTTTCGTTTTTCTTGAGAATGTAATGTTGTGATTCATACACTGTTATGCTTCTAGGCATTTCCATGTAAGAAAAAGATACTGACTGATAGGCCGGCTGTGTGTAGTAATAGAAGATTGCGTGGCAGTTTCCATACTTGTGGAAGTAGTTTCTGTCCGAGACAGAGATGAAACCGAGCTAGAAGAAGGAGGGATTCTTGGGGTTTCCCCCTCATTGCTGCCTACTTCACCACCACCACCACCAGCAGGGATGTTTCCACTATCAACACTACTTGGTCCGATGGCACCCAGAATACCTGTGGCCTGCAGAATGTCAGCAAGAGCATTGTTGTTGCTCACACTGCTGCCCTCAGGACTCAAATCCACCACAATGACATTGCCCTGAGATGTAGGTGTACTGACAGGAACTACACTAGGAGCTGCTATGGTCCCTCGAGGCAAAGGTAGAGGCTTCTGCAGTACAGTTGAGCTGGAACTTCCACTAAGAGTTTTCCCAATTGTGATTTTTGTGGGTACATCCTGTAGAATAACAAGATATAGTTTTTATATAATCTACAAACTGTTTTTCTTCCACTTTACAATCATTCACTTCGCATTCCAACTTTTCTCTCATCTTCTTCAAACCATCTTAATAAATACTTTCTCTTTTGTCCTCAAATATTCACCAAAAGCCTTTCACTATTTTGTTGTGCTTAACTGATTCTGCAATTATCACATTTCAATATTCTCCTCTCCTAGAAGGTGCAGTGATGGCAGTGTCACTACCATTGTCATCATGTCCAACATTCTGACAAAAAATTCATTGTCAACTCTAGTATCTGTTCTGGTCTTTATATAGAAGCTCTATTGCCTCAATTAGCTTTCCTCTCATAATATATACTAACAAAGTCATGATTTCTCGCTCTTTTCTTGAAGTCTTCTTCCAATTATTTATCAAGTGACAATATCATGTGAAAATAATATATGCACATTATTAATTTCCCATATAAGTTCTTTGTCTATCTCCTAATGCACCATTCATGACTTTCCTCAACCCCTCTATCACCAATGCACCATAAACCTCACTGGTACTTCCTATACCTATCAACCTTATGTTCTAAAGCTATACATTTGTTCCTTTGTCTTTTTCAATATCATGCAACACAATCATTCCACCCACCTTCTAGTTCAATACTATCTTACAATATCTATAATTATGACAATATTTTCTTAATTGTGTTCTAAAGAATACAAAACACAAGCTCTCACCCTGATTCCCTGAATATTCATTGGTCTCGTCCCAGGAGAGGGCGCTCCTTTATGTACAACGATCACATTAGATTTTGTACCACCCAAAACTGGTCGGAGCCCAGCAGGACCCTGAGGTGTTACTCTCACTGTCTGTATTGTCTTTGAGCCAACAGAGACAACTGTTGCTGGTGCTGGTGTTCGTACTCCACTGATTGAGGCTTTTGGGGCATTTATTGTATTCACAGTCACTACACGTGGACCACTTCCTGTAAAAAATTAAATAAATAAATAAAGCTAGGAAAGAAAGAGAAGTCATGGAACAATGCTTGACACAATACTAAACTCATTATGGGTGAGAACATGAAAAGCACAAGTTAAAAGACACTTGCATTTTTTGCACTGATATTTCTGTTTTAACACTAGAGTATCAAATGTCTCTACACAAAACAAATCTCTCTTCTCTACAGCATGCCAACTATTCAATTACTGAAGGTGATGTTTGCCACTATCAAAACCTCCACAAAATTTAAATTATTGAAGTCTGTCTGTGGCAAGAGGAAGTATATCCAGCTGTAAAACTTGCTTTAAATTTACATAATAGCAACAAAGACACTATAACATCTGATAACCACAGAGCCTGAATTTTCAGTTGAATAAAATGATACGTTGGTGACAGAACAGCTACACTTCTGGCCATAACCAAATCTTACAATATTCATGTGAGACAGCCATCACCACTTCAGCTACAAGAGTCATGAAGTGTGCTCATCTACATTCACATCTCACATCCATACAGAAGATAAACGCTACTCTTACACCTTTGTACCACACAGGAGAATGGTTGGAAATTTCCCGCTTCTGCCAGGGAATTAATTGGCGCTCATTTTAAGTAATTTCTTCCAGGATATAGCCATTTTTTGGAGCATTTCAGACATTATAACAGTATGCCAGATAAACAGCCCCATACCTGTATATCATTAAAAAAAAAAGTACTTATATTTATCATTTGAATTAGAGATATATAATCATTTTTCTGGTGACTACATTTATATCACTTCCAATTCCTTTGAGAAGGGAAAAAAAATTCTGGTGACTGATGTAAGTTTGAAAGACACAGGCATGAAACTGAGTTAATCAAGACAAAACTAAATAAAACACTTAATTTAAACTTCCGCTACGATCTAATTTAAGTACAGGTTAACTTAAAAAAAAAGGGGGGGGGGGTGGAGAGGTGGTGTGAGATGGCAATGAAGGGAATACTGTACTGTACAATATACTCGCTGTCCAGCCACTCAGGAGTAACTTTGAGACAGCAGTGGACTCTTGCACCACCACTAAGCAGTTATCACAATTTGAGCAAGACTAAACTAAAACATTTTCGACCAAATAACTTAATATAAATACATGGTAAATAACTAAAGTGGATATCATATAATAAGCATTTTAGGCACATGATAGACACTTAACTCATGATACCCACAGCAAAAGATTTCAATATGAATTTATGAGAATTTTCATATTCTTGGAATTTTTATAAAGCTGCCATTTCTCCCAACAGACATGAGTGCAATAATAATCAAATAAAAGTAATTACCAAATTTCATATAAAATTGCCCCTTATAGGTAGTTTTATTTATTTTTATTAGGTTACTGGTAATTGAGCACATTCTGGATGAAGGCTTGTATAGTATACTGTACCTGTATATTTATGCCTTCATTTCTTTCTCTTTAATGGCCCAGCTCCTTAGATGGCAACCCAATACCAGGCACCAACCTTTAGCCCCCACGAAGGGTCCTTCCACATCTACTGATCAGATGCAGGAAGTATACAAAAACTCCAAGCAAAAAATTTTATGTGCAAGCCTAAAAATCACAGTGTGCATAAGCGTAACAGTGCCCGAAAAATCAAGTATATCAGAGTAACACTTATTCTGCAATGCTACCCCAGACCTTGCCACATCTTAGGACCTTCCAGCTGGGCCCTAGCCCACCAAGAAACTCCCATAACAAGTATCAGACTGGGCTACAGCCAGGTCAGTCAAGTTACCCATGACAGCAAGCCAGACAGCTCCCTGGGACTGCCACACCAGGACATGCTTAAATGCTTACAAAATGATGTAGAGGGAAAAAACATCCACTCTTCTATTATACTGTACAACACCACTAACTGTATAGCCCAATCTAAACTCAGCACCAATGTACTTATTCTAAACAGATGACAAGTTGAATAGACACATTCTCCCTCGAGATGTTTGCGACTAGGATAACAGGATTGTTATTGCAAACCTGGTTTATGACACTGTCAAATGAGATGCAATCTGTGCACTAGAGAGAATGATCTAGGCAACATTAACATTAGATCTTAGGGAAAACCACCACTCTTAATCTTTTATTATACATGACAGTTGTCACAAAGGAGCAATCATCTTTAGATGATCACCAGTTCCCATGGTTTAGGGGTTTATAGAGAAAACCCCCAAAAAACCTGGGTGTGTATGTTCACAGACTGCTCTGAGCTGGCATCATGTTATAAAATTTTGTACATGTGTGCAATAGTATTAGTAAGCTCATGCATAAATAATCTTCATCATAAAAATGGAAGACTACAAGTATGTTATAATACTGTACTACTGTAGTAATAATTCATTATAAATTTAATCAAAGTGAAAAATCTGTGTTAGTGCCATACCCTGACCAGCAGCAACAGTGCGAGTTACAACAGTGATGGTGCCGGAGTTGGTTGTGACCACATAAAGTGGTCCACCAGTCCCTTGTGGTGAGTTGGGAGGTAAGAGAGGAGTCCGTCCCATCAGCCGTCCTGGAGCATTATGACCTATACCCACATTACTGCTGCTGCCCACACTGCTTGGGTTGCTAGTGGAACCCCCTATCCCGCCTCCACTGCCACCCACTGAGTGAGTGATGATCTTGGCTCCTGCTGCTGGTGAAGAATTATTCAGGTTTACTTATAACTTCATACGTGATCCATCTTTTTCATATCATATCTCATTTTTTTTTTCAAAACTAGTATGTAAAACTAGCCTGCTATTGACATAAGGTGTAACACAGATCTGTAATATAACTCAGTAAGTAGTTCTACTGAACACCACTAAGCTATATGACAACACAATTAGGTATGGAATGCCGAAAAACTATTCCAATTTGGGAGCAGAGACACTGCAACCAGCTGAATACAGGGGATTGACCCTGAGACCCCTTTTTGTTGCAGAACTCAGGACCAGGCAGCTCTCATAATACACAAGTAAATAATCAGGGCCTTATTGTCCACTGACAACTGACAATCAGTCAGTACTCATCATTGACTCCTTCCCCACCACCCCAAAATAGGGATATCAGGTACAACAGCTATATTTTAGGGGAAGGAGACATCACAATAACAAAATCCAATTCATGGTTAGGACGAATTTGACCTTTTTTTATCAGTTCGTTCTTATCTGACTACGGTAAGCCAAGCAACCAGGGTCTCCAAGTAGCCTGGTTATGGACTCTGCCACCAAAAGGGACTTCAAGACTATCAGGATCAAATCCTCCATTACTAGCTTACACCCTCCACCAGACAGTTCTCGTACTGTAATCTGACACCAGCTAAACAAGAGGGAGGAGGTGCTATCCCACTTTCCCTTGGCATACAGTCCTGATGTTATCGGTGAAACACCAATCAAAAATCCTTCATTAACAAAGGCCAATAACAACCACCTATAAAGATCCTTCGAGGCAAATTGGGTGAAAGCAACTCCAATGAGGAACCATGTACTGTGCAGGTCAGTAAGACAGGAATGAACTCACAAAGAACTTATATGGGAATTGAAGAGTTCCCTCACCCTCTATAATAATCAATCATCTTTATCCCAAGAAATAATTTTCAGTTACAAATCTGTAGCTGATAATATGTTGATTCACAACACATCAATTCTTATAAGCTCTATGTCTCGAGAAATTAATATAGAAAACAAAGTACCTGTACAGTATCTTATAAACACAAGCAAACACCTGTCAAGCAACAGCAAAATAAAGTGCCTACATTTGTTAAAAACCCAATATTTAAATCAAATGATATATTTTATTAGACTTATTCAAAAGCCTTGTTTGTATCCATGCTAATAAGATTTTTTTTTTTCAAAACAGGTATACAAAATGAAAAACAAACAAACAAACTTTAACTTGTCATTAACTATCACAGTTATGGAACACACTTTGACATAGAGACCAACTTGAGTCACAAATTATACAGTACAACTCCTTATCTTAGTCTTTAAAATGAGAACGTCTCAAAGACCCCAATATGGGACCAATATTCATCTTCATCTACAGTACCTGGCAGAACTCCCTAATAAATATGGAAGACTGCCAAGTTCTACAAGAAGTAAGAATACTCTCATTTATATTAACCCCGTGCAGACATATCCCAAAACAGTTGTGGTACGGAGGGTAGTACTGTTATCAGATATAACCCACAACTGTAGCGTTATACGTACTATTTTTCATGGTCCCAACTTATATTTCTCATGCCTTGTTTTCGCTGAATACCTTCTGGCACCTACCCCAAGGTGGTGTAGGCCTCTCACCTATGAGTACATGTATTGGCTGGTCCATGGCCGAGTCAAGATAAACTCTTCCATACATGTGTGGCGCCCATCGCATGTGAAAATTGGCACCATTATATTAGATTCAGGAGAAAAGAATGACTATCACATGCAGGATGAAAGGAGAAGCTGTTGCAATTCATAGCTGATCAGCCAAATGAAAATAAGCATACAACACTGAAATATCCCAGACACCAATAAGTAGCAGATGGAAGCCATTCATATCTGCTGAAATACTGATGGGTAACACCACATTCTCTCTTCCTCTATATAGATAACTTTTCAGTCTCTCTCTCTCTCTCTCTCTTTATGGGTAACACTACAATCTTTCTTTATGGATAAAATAACATCTCTTTCTTTCCCTTTGATGGAGAAGCAGAATACTCTTCACACAAAACACATCTGTAGTAGTGTGTTTAAGAGAGCAGGGATTATCCCAATCTTTGCCCCCTGCAGAAATTCCTGTTAGTGTTTCAGCATGTATCAGAATTGTCCTGTCCCATACTGGCCATGCATGTTGCAAGGTTGTTTAATGCTAAGCCTTTTTTTTTTAAGTACAGACACCAAAGAAATATCAAATCCAAAATTTTTCTTACTTCCTTCCTGACGAATCTGTATGGCAGCTTTTCCTGGAGTAGCAGGAGTACCTGGTCTGACCTGAAAATAATTCACAGAGGAATATATAAGAGTCTGTAAGTAGCACAGTTATAATGAAGATTACAATGAAAACTTATAAAATACTACATCAAGAAATTTAAATAAGTAGAGTAAAGAATATTCATACCTTGCAATACAATATTAATACAAACCTACTCACCTGTATAGTTTGATGAGTCATCATATGTCCTGGTGGCATGCCATGAGAACCTGTAGATGGTGCCACTATGTTGGAGGAATTCCCAGAAAAAGAAGGCATGGTACTCATATGACTTCCAGAAATCATACTGTTGCCTCCAGCACCAGCACCAGACTCCACACCTGACAAATCACATCAACAGTCAATATACCCCAAAGCTTCTGAAAGGCATTTGTGGATTATTTGAAAATGAATGGCAATGAAGTTGATCAACATCTTTTCAGTAACTTGTATTTACCTCTTTGTGGTATTCCTGCTTCAGCCTGAAGAACAAGGGAATTAGATCGCTGACGAGGTCTAGGGGGAAGTGCACCTGTGGGTACTCTTGGTCTCATTCTGTTCACATAAGTTCCTGTTGGCACAAATGATTTTTAATGATTAAATAATAAAACTTCTTTACTACAAGCCAACAAGAGCTGATTATATATCATAAAGAAATGTCTAAAAAAAAAATTATGAAAAAAGAAAATATCTACTTAATTTGTAAACCCTACAAAATTTCTCATTGTACAGTCTCGTTCAAGATTCTTCAAACACTGCTGGAGACAGCAGGCAACTCAAAGCCGTTTGTTTACTATTTTATGTAGTAAAAATTATGAATGAATGTAAAAGGTTATTGGTGATTGTTTAATTAGTTCCCTGTTGCTTAATTAATGGTTGGGCTTTGTTGTTTCGTATTATATTATACTACGTACTATTGTAAACAAACGACCTTAAAATAAGTCAACACAAAAATTCATGAGTCAGAGACCAGACTCTCTTTTACCGTAATATCCTCTGAGGAACAAAAACCCCAACCCTAGACTATTGCGCATTTTTTCCCAACTGAGATTTCTGATAAATGGCTTATGAGCTCTTGTTTGAAATAATGAATGTATGTATCTTTATAGAATTTAGCTAAATATCTTTTTCGTCAGATGCAGTTGCCCCAACGATTATGAATAAACTCATTTAGATATAAATCATTACTTCAAGATGAAATCGGACATATTTGCAACAACCAATCAGCTGTAACCCTTGAGGACGGGGAAGGGCATCTCTTCTCAGCTGGGAAAAAATGCACTATAGAACCAATTACCCAATGTAGCAAGTTACACAAAGGAGACCTCCACACAACTGCAGAACAAAAATGTTTCTTAAATGTCCCCCATAAAATGTCTCTAAACCTTGTCTCTAGACAGATTCAACCTAACAACCTGTAACCTTTGAAAAAGTTGCCCTAAACAGAGATGTGAAGCTCAACTTCCCAATCAAATTCTCACACTACAGGGTATCTAAATGATAGTTTCCTCAGGAACCATCCAACCCATTTTCAGTATCCCACTGGAGAACTAGCCACCGAAAGATCTGACTTGGAGAAACACCAGACTCTTTTCAATTCACTAAGAAGCCTCTGCTCTAACCTCCATAGCAGTTAGCCTTAGGTCAAAGTTATTCAGTACGTACATGAATTTCTACAAATTAACTTGTTCAAAATGTATAGCAACACAATAGAACACATTAAACTAATTTGCATAGGCAATTATAATGTAAAATTATTTCTTATGTTTTCTTTCAACAAAGAAACCTTCACTAACCTGATGGAGGCATCCCCCCAGACACCAGTGATCCACTACCAGAGTATGTAGAAGGAACAATCATACTTCCTGACCCCACACTGCCACCTGAGGAGATAAACAATAAGGAAAAATTATGTACAGTGATGCCAATGATTCTCAGACTGATAAAGAGCGAGAAAATATTGCATCTGTTACTAAAACTAAACCATTATCCCTCAATCCAGTTATTCTTGTGGAGGAAAGGTGTTTATTAAAGATAACACATAAAGTATACTATAAAACACAAAGTGCGTGATATTTCTAAACTTATTTTTACCTCAATAAATAAATTACCCTACAGAATTTTGTCTTATTCATCAGACTACAAAATTATTACACTATATCAACATCCTAACTACACTATTTTTTCTCCATGCACTGCTCCACCTTTCCCCCCCAAAATTTTAATACAGTATTTTTACCTATCAAGGCTAAGTTGCTCACATCTACGTATTTTTATTTCATGTTTAACAGAATACAAATGTAACAAGGTATTGTAAATCCTCAAGAAAATAGCGAAAAATGCATACTTGACAGACAGAAAATATCTATGTAAAATAGCTGAATAGGTTAACACTTCACCCCTGGAGACACTCCTGAGAAAACACAAAAAAAATCACAAAATCCACATCCCACTACTGTATCCCTATTACTCTAATGTAATGGAGGTTCACTGTATCATCGTATAACATTATTATATGGATGTGCAACACAGATTCTGGATGCAAGAGGGTGAAGTGATGTAAAAAAAAAATAATAATTCTTGAGAGCAATATGTGAAGTGAAGAGGATGCATAAAATAAGGTAAGAGTACACATAAATAAGGAGTTATGTGGGTGTAAAAGGAGTATCAATGTTAGATAAGGTGTTACTCGGTTGATATGGGCATCTAGAGAGAAGGGGATGTGAGTTACTGGTAGAGAGAGAGTTTAATGCAAAGTGGAACGCTTGGAGGAACAGAGAAAGACAATTATAGAGATGGGTGAATGACATACAGAAAGAGCAAGCATGCATAATTGACCAATGAGTGAAATATTTTTATTTTAAATCATTGTATCTCAGAAACTGCTGGGTGAAAATTCTGCAAATCTAGTAAGAAAACTTTTTGTAGGACCCTTCATCAGCTTATAATAAAAAAAAAAACACAAGAGAACATTGAAAAGACATCAAAAGTATGGGGGTTTCTTTCTCCATGGCAATAGTGTGGCTGAGGTGAAGTAAGCCATCTCTGATTGCCTTGTTGAAAATTATGCTTCCTAGTTTGGTTAAGGTTGAGTCTTATGATATATCTGTACGTTTGTATCATATTTTGGACTTAGCACAAGTCAACCAGTCAGAAACATCCTTATGTCTTCAGGTACGAGGAATATTCATTGAACGATCCTTAGAGAATTTGTTTCCCAACTGACACAAGCCACACATCATACAACTCAGTGAAAGTGGACTGGTGAAAACAAGTTACAAAACAAACATCATTACAGTACCAATTCTGATGACAGTGTACACATGCAATCAGGATACATTACTGTAATACAACAAGAGCATACTGTACCTTCCTGCTATTAGGTATAACACTCAATGGAACAGTGGTGTACGTATCTTGCAGGTCACTTGTTTAATACACACAACCACAGAATGGGATTTCATGCCTCAATCCTCCATTTTTATTACAAAGTATTTCTCTGTTATTTGATACTTTTATATTTTACCTTTTTAATTACCTTTTAAAAATTTATGTACTATACAGTATTTCAAATGTATTTTCATAACTTATATTTCCTTTTATGTGAATATTTACCCCCTCCCTTTTTTATGACTTAATATTCTAATTATTGTATGCTACTTTTGTACACGACAACTTTCAGTACAGTACAGTATATAGTTCAGTGCCCACTCTACACTTTTACACACATATGCCAGTTTATCAGCCAAAATGCATTCTTATTGAAGACAATTTTCAATCCTGTTTGATACTAATTTTCCTGATGATCTTACTTTATACAAATGTCATGTACAGTACCGTATATATTCATTTCCAAAAATAAATTATTCTTGTAAGTAAAAACATAATAGAGAAGTAAATCCTTAATATGTTTTTATAAATTAATCAAAAATTACATTACATTACACTATACAGCAGAACATCAGAAATAAGGTGTGTTGTGTAATGTGTCGAGTTCACATGTACAGTATTTTGCCTCTATTGATTTTCAATTGTCATTCTGAATATAAAATTGCAGAAGACAAACAAGCATATGGTAGAGCAGGCCTTAACTACTGTGTACAATAAATCTTGCATTATGACTTAATTTTAACCCAAAAAATTTAATTTGTAAATACAGTGTACTGTATATTCTTTATTACCATTTTTGTGTCGCCTGCGTAGCACAGCTGAAACATAGGGATCACTTTGTCCATCGTCTTGCATCGGCGGCGGCGTTGTTGTTGTTGTTGTCAGCATCAGCGCCGGCGTCTTCAGACCTTAACCAAAAGGTTAACATTTTGATCTAACTGCTTTAGTGTTTTGTACAACTTTTAGAATCTTTACCTTTGCAGTCCCTCACTGTATAAAACTACCCACAGCATTGTTTAGCCTTGGCTCCATCCCTAAGAGTGAGGATGGGAGGTTTACAACAAGCTAGTCAAGAAGGTTAACATTCTTCTCTTATCCATTACTGTTTCACACATTACCAGTAGTTTTCCCAAATTGATTTCCTCCACTGCTCACATCTGCTCATTTTAATTCTTACCCCTAGGTTCATCCCTGGGGATTGGTGGTGTGGGGTTAACCAACAAGATAATATTTAGTAATCAATGCACGACTGCTTTACACATTCAAAAGAGTACAGACTTATTCCATCACCAGCACTGTGCACACATGATACAGAGGAATCATTTTGTCCATCAAATTGAACTGAGGTTTTCATATTAAAAATTTCTGCATCAGTGGGTTTTTGAGAACCTAAACCCCACAAATATCAAGGGTTTACTGTAATTTTAATTTTAATATTTTCGTGTTCCTGTACTTAACATCCATTTTATTATTATTCTATGACTTCATCCTCTAAACAGTTAGTCAATTCATACCCCCATATATTCCTTCCTAGAAAAATCTTCGACTACAGTATCTGACTGTGTTCTAACAACCTTTCAGTTTTTCAAGTTCTTTTCTCTCTAAATTTATCCAAATACAGTATATTCTTTTGGCCACTCATTGCACATCCAGATACTCTACAGTGCTCCATATTCATATGTCTCTTTCTGCTCCTCTACTGTAAACACAACACAAGTCTTACATTCTCCAAACACGAACCATCTGAAGATAACATATCCTCTCAGTTCTATCAGTGGTCAAGCAGGCATACGAATGGTCAGACCCAAGTAAGTGGAGATGATTATATGTACTGAACAAACTTATGGACTGATGTAAACCTCTCACTGGAGCGGAACCATCTTTACATATACACCTCACTCATCCACATACACCTTTTGGTATCCCTCACTAAATGAATGGGTTAGATTCCTGAAAAACCATTCGTTAAATGAATTTTCGCATAACGAATAAAAGAACATATGGAAAAAATAGGGTTCGGTTCTCCAATAATAATGAAAACCTCAATATAATACCCCAAAAACATGAAATCAGTTCCCCCCAAAAAAAAACTACCTAACTAATGATAAATAGTACACAACTACTGTAATTTACTACCTAACTCATAAAAAACAATAATTAAATACAGCCACCGTTTACATAGCTGTCACGTGTGCCGCCCTCAAGCCTCGCCATAGCAACTCGCCCAGGCTGGGGACGTTCCCCCTCCCGACCCTTAGCAACGATCCCCCTCCCACTCACACATACAAAGAAATGTCTGTTCCCTTTATATTTTTTTTACAATATGATAGTTATTTCTTTTACTTTTTTGCAATTATATATGTAGGACTGTACATGCATGTAACAGTGAAAAAAAAAGTGAAGAAATTCAAGTTTATCTTCCCGAAATTACGAGTTGAAAAATAACAATAACATAACTCTCCCAGCTCATCCTGCTAACTTATGGTGTAGTACTTCTAAATAAGGAATACTGTATTGTATATAATCTGCAATAAGGAAAATTTCTCTTATTCCCATGTAAGTGTCTGTCACATACTACAATATAGTACAGTACTTCAAGTATGCAAGGTCATACTGTAGTGTGAAGGAAAGGGTGTTAAAGTGTGACCACTGTGGCAAAACATTTTATATACAGTACTGTACAGTATCTCCATTTAGGAACTGTAGTTGATTAAATTCATTATGCCAAAAATAGCAAGGTACATACTGTACACTAAAACTTCCCCTTGCATGGTTTAAACTGGCAGCTTCTGGTTGGCTCTAATACAAGCCATGCAGATGTCAAGATGAAGTTCATTCTCTATAATCCATTCGCAATCACTTTCTTCTTTTCAGATCAATAAAAATGGAGGACTGACATGAAATCCCATTTCACAGACAAGGGAAGAGATAAGTGACCCAAAAGAGTCCAACTAAGCACTCCTGACAGAGCCTGCCACTGCTTGGAAGCTTGTCTGTCTAGTAGCAACTTACACTGCCCTTATCGATCATTGTAATTGCTACACAGCAGCTCCTTGCATGTTAGTTTAAAACAGTGGTTCCCAAACTGGGGGGCATTAGGTGGGTACAGGGGAGGCGTGAAGCTATCTGCCAAAATTTGCTATTTTTTGCTCAAAAATAATATACAGTGGTCCCTCGGTTAACGAGCACAATCCGTTCTAGAAGGTTGCTCGTTAACCGAAAAACTCGTTAACCGAAACAATTGTTTCAATAGGTTTTTGGGTAATTGGTTCCAGCTCACCAAAAATTGCCTAAATTCAACAAAAAAAGTAGAAAAGCACACTTACTTTGAGGTGTGTATGTAGAAGGCTCCTGGATGGTTATGATGATGATGGGAATTAGAATGGAGGTGGAGGAGAAGTGAGAAGAGAAGGCATTGGGGTGGAAGAGAAATCACCCCATGGTGCCATTTCACCCATAAAATTTTTGTTTTCTTGGTGTAATGCAAAATTATTTTCTTTAAATCAACACTGCACTGCATTATATATTGTCAATATGTAAAATAAATTTCAAAATGACCAATAATTTGCTTGCAAATGCAGAAAAAAAGCATTTAGTTAGAGAGTCTCAAGCAAGATGTTACCTCCACTTACGACCGCCGCAGTTGTGACCATTTTTTTTTTCAAATTTTTTTTTTCAAATGACACACGCATTTTCTATACCGAAACATTTCCAGTTAATGTAGTCTCCATGTATAATTAGAAAATTATGGGGGCCTCATGTGCATTCAGCTGACTACATTAAAGGTAAGTGCTCAGTCACACTGTATCCATTCCTCATTATTTATTACTTTCACTGTACTGTATCCATTCCTCATTATTTATTACTTTTACTATACTGTACTGTATTTCATTGTAGATTTTTTATTAAAAATAAATAATTAAATTGATTTTCTTTTATGTCGGACTTACGACCTGGATTTGGATCCCTAACCCCGTCGTAAGTCGGGGTCTAGCTGTATATATAAACATACAGTACAATGAAACCTCTACAATTCAAACTACTGTGAGTCCCATAGGTATGAATGTTCAAGAGTGGTTAACTTACCTGATAAATCAATTTATAGGAGTAAAATGCACGGGGTAAGGTAGAAAAGGGTGGTAGATAGGACAAGAGGTGGGTAGTGAGTGGTGGTAGGTTGGGTAGCAAGGCAGCAGGCTGGGCAGTGAGGAGTTGTAGGCAGGGCTGAACAGGGCAGGCTGTGAGGGATGATGGGCATGGCCTTTAGGAGTACCTTCAGCTCAAAGAGATGTGTATCAACCTGTTTCAAATCAAGCTGTCACCACGTTCTTCAATATAAGACCAAGCTTTCAAGTACACGACTGCACTATTCAGATGTTAGACTGAAACTGCACATGCAGTTACCACAAGATAGATTTTGAACATTTCTACCTAATTCAAACAAAGACCAAATTATCAGAGGAAGTTTGGACTTCTTCAATTTGTTTGAGTTTCCATAAATTCTGATTAGTGAAGTTTGAACTGGTCAGGCCTCACTGCACAGCATTCAGGACCTAAGAACTTATCTCCTATCAATATTTTTACTATCTTAATTCTTAATTATCAATATTTCATTGGAAATTCCTAAGTGAACATTATTTATATATTTTCCATCCTCTGTCCATTCAATACCATATAATTATTGTGAGAGGAGAAATTAAATTACAGCTATATGTACTGCATACAATCATGTATGTCAGCTGCATTTCAGTACTAAGAGTAGTAGTTTTCTGAAAACAAATTTACTTACCAAGAAAAGGCTGTTTATGATTATACAGTACATAAAAAATAATGAAAGATGCATCATAAAATTACAGGACAAAACAAAATTAAATTTACCAGGTTGCATTTGACTTCCAGGCATTGTACCACCAGCAGACGGGACACCACGCATCACAGTGGGTGCTGCTCCAGCGCTACCCTTCATTACTGGAACACTGAGCGATCGCTGATACATGCCACTGCCCACCCCACTTGCTCCAGACGTTGATACAAGAATTACCTGGCAAACAGAGGGTTACTGTTAAATTATATTACAGTATACAAATTCTATCTCCACTTTTGAGTAAGGTGGATCAAGGAGTCTAGAAACCTTAAAGGTATAGGAAATAGTAAGGAAAATGGTGCAACACAGGTAAAAGTGAGAGAAAAGGGTTAGAGCAACAAGAAGACCAAATCAAACTTCCTTGTATCCTCAACATATGTACTCAGTACAGTATATAAAGAGTCTTTAATAACTGCATTTATTTACCGGGTAATTCAACAAATTGAAACTCAAGAAACTTACATGTCATTTTTTTTTGGTGCAATTCACTCATTCACACTAAATGAAACCTTATTGTAATAGGTGACAGGAATTGATGGCAGCTTGGACACTTGCAATCTGTAATCACTCATAAGTCTGCCTGTCTGTCAGTCTCTATACTATAAGATAAAATCAGAGCTCATCTGGAGCTAACAACATTTTTTCTTCAAAATTACCTTTTGCGTGTGGCCTCCAAGAGTAGATACCGGTGTGCCAGGTGTTCCACGAGCCACATTCCCTGTCACAGTAATCTTCATGGGTGGACCTGGCATTGGGCGACTGATGCCACTTATCTGCTAAGTGCAAGGAAAAATATCATACATAAATACTGTATATGTTCATCTCATGGCAAAGTAAATACATAAGAGCAGTTTTAGCAAACTTGGTGTCACAGAAAATTACTCAGACAAAGTACAAGGCTACAAACTGGATGAAAAGATGATAAACTGTTACAACCTTGATGCAAAATGTATGTCTTAAGCAAACACCTGAGATACAGTAAATGAATTCAGTACTGCAAGATGACACAGTAGAATGACTGTGTCTCTGAGTTTGTAAACATATAATTTATGACCAAAGAGGCCTAAAGCATTAACTAGAAATCATGAATTCTTTTCTCAATACCCAATTATTTACTAAAAGATGTAGTTGGCTCCAAAAATGAGCAATGTTCATTCTTTAAATCGTCTATAGTCCACAAAGGCAATACTTCCCCAGATGGCTAATGCCTACAACCTATCTACCTGCCAATGCAAACAGATAGGGTAACATAAGACTGGCCAAGATCGTAAAACCAAAACTTAAATGATAATGAATAATGCATAAAAGATTAAAGTTGATCATTTTAACTATAACTGATGCATATATTTTAATCTTTCTACAAATCTGCACGTGCTGACCTGCTTGGAGGGGGTTCCAGGTGCTGGGGGAAGTTCCCGAGGAGCTGGGGGAGGAGGAGGCGGAGGAGGCAAAGGAGGGTGTTCGGTCGATGAAGATCTTTTTCTCTTTCTTTTGTCGCTGCTTCCACAAACACCACCAGAACCGGTCCCAAATCCAAGACTCATAGGACCAATACTCCCTCCCGATGTAGTGGTTGGAGTTTCTCGATTTTCTCGATTCTCTTTCCTGAAGCAGATGGAAAACTGTTACAGTACTCAAGAAAATATGCACAAAATTTTTCATACTTGTCACCTTACAAGTCATTATAGTAAGTCCTCTATTTATGCCTTGGATGCCTTCCTAGAAAACAGAACATTAGGAGATGCAGTACTAAGTTAATTGGTACTAAGTAATTTCCCCATACTCTTTAATCAAAGTTTTCTAGTGGGACTACATCCAATAGACTTTTTAATATGGCTTAACATAACAATCATAGAGCAAGGTCTGTCTACTCTTCCTCAACCTTCATCTCAATTATAACAAACTCTTAGCTGTATCACAAGTACTTACGGAGGCAGCTTAGATAAACGGGTCTGTGACAGTGGCAGTGTAGTATATGACCCTTGATCATTGTTGTATTGCTGAGGCACCATGGCACCCTGGATAAATCTAAGCCCTTCAGTCTCCTCTTCTGAATCTGTGTCATCAGACTCAGCACCAAGGTCTGTAGGATACACAACACTTATTTGTATTCGATGATAATAATAATAATAATAATAATAATAATAATAATAATACAGTAATAATAATTCTTTTAAACAATAACCACTTTTGTAAACTGATCTTTCTTCAAATTAGCCAAAAAGAATGCGAAGAGACAGGGCTTCTCATAATCAATGCTAACAAGCACTAAAAATTAGAAAATGCTTTTACAATTTATTACTTATTCATTTTTTTACTCCAGAGGCTACTTTCGGATAACTTATGTCGTACAACTTCCTACATCTGAAATTCTAAATTTCTCAATATTTGCTCTCACAACTGTAACTGTGAATTGCTTTACGAGATGCAGTGAATAGTGATCAGCTATCTGACCTAAATAATGGACGAGGTGCACACATGCCAATGTGATGGCACAACTCGCTGCTTTTTACCTTAAATAGCGATTTTTTATTCTTAAGATCCCTCTTAGAGATTTGGGTGTGAGTAACAATTGTTATCAACTTAAAAATAATCCTTACCAATAATGTCTAATGATATACCTCAGTTTCCATCCCAGGGACTTCATGATATAATATTCAAGTGATTTACTGGAAGTCATCTGCCCATAAGTACTTATAAAAACAGTACAGAATTTCACTTACCATCCATTTTACCAAACATTGCTGTTGAGTCTGGGGAAGGCATTTTTGCATTAATGCCATAGTACAAGAGGGCCATCCGTGTAGCTATGGCAGTATATGAGGTTTGTGGAGGAATACGGGGCATAAGTGGTACCAGGCGTCTACCTTCTACTGCCCACTCAACTCCTGTGTTGGGCCCAGCCAGTCTAAAAAGATATTTTAACTCAAAATTTCTGAAAAAATATTAAAACTCTCTAATTCAAATGTGACCCAGTCCCAAGAAAGGTACCCAAGTTCTGTCCTAGATTAATCTATAATTTCTCCCATACCACATCTTTACGTTCATTTGCTTCTCATGGGATTTTAATTGCATGTTGACTAAAAAATTTGGCATTTCTCATATACAGTACTGTACTTTGCTAACAGCTTTATACTCTTGAAATAATCATTGGGTTTCAGTGCTTGGGTTGGGTCGTAAAATATTTTCAGACTACAGTATTAACCCCTTCACCATGAGAACACTACTTTTAATATTTGATTTGGCTAACACCAATATTTTCTTCAGCACAAAGAGACTCCTGTACACAATGAGCTAAACAAATGTAAAAAATTATAAATCTATGTTCAATCCTGAAGAATGTGATAAACAGTATGTATATGTAAACGGTACACTGTACAGTATACCAACACACATGCTTATAATATATGAGTTGCCTGGGACAGGTTATTAATCATAAATTACATTACCACTACAGTATAGACAATAAGTTTACTTACATGTCTGCAATAGTGTTGAGTTTTTCATCATTAACTGCTCTACGAATCTCGGCTCGATGTCTTTCAAGGGTGATTGAGAATATAGTTTGAAGGTCATTTAAAAGCTTTCTCTTCTCCTTGGTAAGTTCTCCTTGAGCCCGCAAGACTGATACTACCTGGCTGTATGTAGTCAGTTCTACACAACATAAATAAAAGAGTGTAAGTACAGTATAATGTTTCCATAATGAACAAGATGTTATTCTTAGAATAGAAAACCAAGTGATAGAAATCATCCCTGTCCATCAAACACACTCCAGTGACAATTAAAATGTTAAAACATTTTAATTTCCAAGGCAAAAATACAAAATCAGGGATTACTGTACTGGTATAGTATATTAATCCTTCTGCCAAGATTTAAATCCTTAAAATTTTCTTTCTCATGGAGTGAATGAGGATGAAGATCAAAGGAAAATTTAAAGTTTCTTTTATAACACATAGTGTATAACAATATAAACATACACAGGAAAAATTATCTTACCTAGTGCACGGAGAGCTTTCCGACACTCATCCTTTGTCATATCCAGCAGTTTTGGCCATTTATTTGGCACCTTATTTCCTATGTCCATCTGAAAAAATAAGAATCATTTTGTTAATCAGGTACAGCACCAGGTAGTAAAAATTACTAACCAGTTTCTATATAGAGTATAATTTATCACACTACCAACACTCTATACACAATGATTTTTTTTAAATCCTGCTACATAAAATACTGTAGCTGTATCACTAGCTAAAATCTTTTATAATTCGTACATATTTGGTCTTTTCAACATTTTACAGAAACATTGACCAGCAAGCAAATTATCAACAGACTGTTAGAAAAAAAACTACTATAAACATGTGCTGGCTGAATAACAAATCACATCACAGTTTGAGAAAAGGAAATTGGAGTTGGAAACTATACAGTAGAGTACTGTAGTAATCTCCCCAATTAGCTGGAATATCCAGTCTCTGGAACTCTCCATTAGCTGAAATGAATTTTGAGCTTTCGAGGAAATTCGGGGAAAACTCTCCATTTCCAGCATGGGAAAGAGTTTCCAAGGATGAAATCATGCTCATTTTCCAGAAAAATTCTGGTTAACACCAGAAGGAGTTGATTGATTTTGTTCATATTTTCCACACATGTTCTTATCATTATAATAAGTATTTAAAAAAAGCGACTAACTTTTTATTTCAATTATAAGTATTTTTTTAGTTTTTCATGACTTAAGATCATAAATTACCTGTAGTGGGCAGGGCATGAAAGTTGAGGAAAATTGTGGGGTAAAACATGGTGAAAAACTGATTATATGACACTAAAATGACATCTCTATGTGCTTTGTACATGAAGAAATTAATTATTTACCGTAAATACTCCTCAAAAAAAATCTGCCGAGTCAGCACGTGGTATTGTCTGCTCAGTTTATTTACAACAGACCAACTTGGTTCAAGTGTACTCTAATGTCCACAAAAAATTTTAAATTGCACCATGATGCTTCAACAAAGTTGCTTTCATTGGTACCAGATATCAGAATACCTATGTACTTCTATTTAATATGACGGGGGGTTTGGGGGGGGGCAGAGCTCGCCGGCTAGGAAGCTAGGTAGGTTTCTTTGGTTGGTTAGGTCAGGCTCTATTATGTTCTAGTAAATGTCGCCTCTTTTAAAATACTTACTATAATGATAAGACAATCTGTGGAAAAAATTGACAAAATTAAACAACTCCTTCTGGTGTTAGCCATCTCCTCCATTATTACACAACACTGAACATGATAAACTCTATCCTCCCACCAGACTTGATTTATTAAGAAATAAGTTACCTTTATAGATATTTTTGAAAGGAATAGCTGGTTTACCGAGGTTAATTTCCTTAAATATTACATTGTTTTCTATTATAGAGATTTCCATTTGGTTGTTGGATAACCCATATCCTTGTAATTAAATATTACTGCAAGAACATTAAGGAACAGCATTATAAGAACATTTTTCTATACTATCCACAAAATCACCAACAATAGTAGTTTATAAGCAATCATCTTGTTAATAGTGAGGCTACCAAGTGAAGAGCCCATCAAATACATCAACTAACACAGAGTCACCTACGTTATCTAATACCTTATTCACACAACTACACTCTCTAACTGTCTTATACACAAACAATATATACACATGAAAGATATGATAATGAGAGATGTGATCCTTACCATGATTAGGGTGTTATTAGTGGACAATCCTTCACATCTTAAGGGTAGTTACTGTGTCAACAAACGGCTCTGGTCCAGGGGGTAAAGGCCTACTATTATTTGTCTTAACTAACTTGATTTTTTCTTTTAGACATTCAGCCTTTATAATAATAATAATGATAATAATAATAGTAATACAAACCAACTTTTTATATCAGTAATTATATATTTGATTCAGATTAATTTATTTGTGTTTTCATTTATTTCACATTAAAGTTTTAAGTTTATAAGAATATTCTATTATTTATTTGTTTTATTAGTGCGTGGTTGAATTAGAATTTATTATATATCTTTGAATATTTAGTTTCTAAAGTTACCCATACTTTATAAACTTTGTTGAGGATATTTCATATATTTAAGTTCGTTGTCTTTACAGAACAAGGGGAGGGCGAGCGGTGGTGAGGCTCACAGGAGGTGGCACTTAGTCAAACAATAATTAAGACTAGTACTAATAGTTTATTGGTAGAAGTAGCGGCTAATAAATAAGACTAACCACGCCAACGCGTTATTTGTTCAATTCAATTTCAATTTCAATTGTTTA